AAAGATATAAGTAAATGGAGTTCAGAAAATTTTAAAAGATTTGGGTTAATAATCCAAAAATGTGCTAAACATGTTAGATTTTATCATATGAATTCTAATTACTTTCTAACAAGAGTTAAGCCTTTCAAAAAATCATTGGGTGAATTCTATGACACAATGGAGAAATTTCATTTGCCCATCATCTCCAATAATGCAGTCACCAATAGTTCTCCTTTAACAACAAAGGAATTCACATCATCATTGACAATTTATCGACCAAAAAATCTTACAATTTTGCCATATCGTGGAGCAATAATTTCAACAATTATGAGTGTGCACCATGCAATAACTATAGCCTCATGGATAGATAAAATGGATTTAACAAGTAATAATAATGGTGATGTAGATAATCATAACACTAATAATATTGCTACTACTAGTAGTGCTACCACCACCACCACCACTAATAATAATGTTGATTATTCATATCCAATTAATCAGATACCATATGAATTTAAATTATTGATAAGAGGTAGTAGAGATGGGTTTTCATCATCAACATTTCATAAACATTGTGATAATGTTGTTGGGACAATAACACTTGTAAAATTACAAGATTCTGAATATTTTGTTGGAGGTTATAATCCAAATATATGGACATCTCATTTATGGCCAAGGTTCAATTATAATACCGATTCTTTTATCTTTAGTTTCATACAAAGTGGTGGTGGACTAAGTAAAAATTTCCTTGATGACAATAATGGCAATGGAATTTTCAGTCATGGCAATGAAAATGATAATAACAATTGGAATAATAATGGTGGTAAAATAGCAAGAATAGTTGAGTCAGATCACAAGTATGCTTTAAATTATTGGAGATCAATTGGACCTTCATTTGGTAAATTCGATTTACTAATGGAAAACAATATTATCAAATTTAAACATAAAAGCTATCATCCAAACATTATGCCAATTGATAATGGGTATGCTAGAATTGAAGATTATGAAGTGTTTCAAGTGGTTAGGAAAGCTACTGTCTTGTCTCCCTCATCTTCAACTATTAATGCTAATTCTACATCTACTGATAGTAATAATAGTATCATTAGCATTAATAATAATAATAATAATAATAATAATAATAATAACAATAATAATAATAATAATAATAATAATAATAATAATAATA